TACCAGTAGTAGGTAAGTAAGTGGTAAGTAAGTAAGTCAGCAAGCAAGCAAGCAAGCAAGCAAGCAAGCAAACAAGTAAGTAAGTAAGTAGTAGTAGTAGTAGTAGTAGTAGTAGTAGTAGTTGTAAGTAAGTAGTAGTAGTGGGTAAAGTAGTAGTAGTAGTAGTTAGTAGTAGTAAGTAGTAGTAGTAGTAGTATTATAGGGCAAGGGGGGGTAAGGGGTGTAAAGGGGCAGTTGTTCAGGAAAAGGCCTAACGACATATAGGGGCCTACGAGATACGTAGTTCGTCGTAAGAAGTAGACGTCAGAAGACGACGTCTAGGCGAAAATTCAACCAAATAGGGCGTAAGACGAGACCACTAAGTCGACCTCTACTACATGAAGGCGTCATACAGACAGAGTATTAAGACGAAGATTAGTTGTATCTACCTATCGTAATATCTTCATTAGTCTTGACGTAGATCTGTCGTTAGTCGTATAGTATAGGAAGTCGTACGGTAAGTAGAACTAAACGTACTAGTAGTAGTGGATAGTATTAGTAGTAGTCGTAGTAGTAGAAGTAAAGTAGTATTAGTCTTATTATAAACGTAAGTCGAAGTAGTAGTAGAAGATCGACGAGCACGTCGTAGTCGTAGTCGTAGTCGTAGTCGTAGTCGTAGTCGTAGTCGTAATCGTAGTCGTAGTCGTAGTCGTAGTCGTAGTCGTAGTCGTCGTAGTAGTAGTGATCGATCGCCTGACGGAAAGACTCTCCAAGCTCTCGGGCTTCGCCCTCGTTCGGCCCAAAAGCCTAGAGACGGTGGGAGAGAGGGACGGGGCCCGGCCGGACCTGGGACAGGATGCCATCCTTCGAGAAGACGAGGCCCTCCGCGCCGAAGAACATTCGAGGGACCCCCCCCAGGATGCACAAGAGAGCCCCACAGACACGAAGAGCATGAAGGTACCCTCCCCGAGCCGACCTTGATCCTACTCCTCGGTCCGACCATGAGGAGGAGACAGGCGAGGGACGACGACGAGCGGGACGAGGGGAGGATAGGGGGTGGTTGACGGGAGGGAGCTGAGGAGGAGGAGAAGGAGGGGGAGGAGGAGCGGGAGGAGGAGCGGGAGGGAAGGTGGGAGGGGGAGGTGTGAGGGGGGAGAGGGGGAGGAGGAGGAGGAGGAGGAGGAGGAGGTGGGAGGAGGAAGAGGAGTAGTGAAGGAGGAGGAGAGGAGGAGGAAGGAGGAGGAGGGGCGGAGGGGCTGGAGGAGAGGAGGGAGGATAAGGAGGAGTGAGGAGGGAGAAGGGGGCTAGCGGACGGTCCGGCGGGTTCGCGTCGTCCAAGAGCGGGGTCGCCGTCGCTGGGGAGCCGCCGCAGGGCCTCGCGAGTCACGGCTGGCGAGGTCGCAGGACGGGCTTCACATCCCGGCAGAGAGCCTTTTTAATATATATATTATAAAATAATAATATATATATAATATATGATATATATATATATATACTCGGCCGGCCCCCTTGTGGGGCCACCAGGCTGTAGGCACGTGATTCGCAGTTTCCTGTACCAGTCGTAGGTTGTAGTTTCCAGTGTTGCAGTTCTGCCTCTTGCTGGTTGCTGTAACTAGTTGACTTCTTGCTGGTTACTGTAACTAGTTGATTGACCGCGCGAGGGGGGGGAGGCCCAAACAGGATTTTTAGCCTCACCTGGGCGCGTTGTCTGAATTGCTGGCGGGGCTCGAAATCGACACCCCTCACGCAGATCCGCGGGGTCGGGGTCCAAAAACACAAGGGATTTGCCACATGTCTGCAATTCGGTGCCACCCCGCACGCAGATCCGCGGGGTCAGGGTCCAAAAACACAGGGGATTTGCCACATTTCTGAAATTCGGTGCCACCCCTCACGCAGTTCCGCGGGGTCAGGGTCCAAAAACACAAAGGATTTGCCACATGTCTGAAATTCGGCGCCACCCCTCACGCAGATCCGCGGGGTCAGGGTCCACAAACACAAGGGGTTTGCCACATGTCTGAAATTCGGTGCCACCCCTCACGCAGATCCGCGGGGTCACCCCTCCAAAAACATCCGCGGGGTCAGGGTCCAAAAACACTTGGGATTTGCCACATGTCTGAAATTCGGCGCCACCCCTCACGCAGATCCGCGGGGTCAGGGTCCAAAAACACAGGGGATTTGCCACATTTCTGAAATTCGGCGCCACCCCTCACGCAGATCCGCGGGGTCAGGGTCCAAAAACACAGGGGATTTGCCACATTTCTGAAATTCGGTGCCACCCCTCACGCAGATCCGCGGGGTCAGGGTCCAAAAACACAGGGATTTGCCACATTTCTGAAATTCGGTGCCACCCCTCACGCAGATCCGCGGGGTCAGGGTCCAAAAACACAGGGATTTGCCACATTTCTGAAATTCGGTGCCACCCCTCACGCAGATCCGCGGAGGTCAGGGTCCAAAAACACAAGGGATTTGCCACATTTCTGAAATTCGGTGCCACCCTCCCGCACATCCATCGCAAAGCGTGTAACCCAAACTGCGAGAACTCCCTCGGCCCTTTAATCGCAAGGTGTGGTAACCAAGCCCGTACACCATACACGTCTTACCAATCGCCAGGTGTGGTAACCCCTCTTGTGATCAGTTGGTTTTGCTGATTGCGAATCGGCTTCGCATGAAGTTTCGATACTGCTTCACAACAGCGCCAAGGCCTCATGACTTAGCTCGTCCATGGCCCATTCTCCGAGAGAGGGGGCCGGCGGCAGGGGGCGAAGACCTTACGGATATATAGATCTAATTATATCTATCAATAATATATACACATGTATATATATATATATTTATCGATGTATTCTCGCATTTCGAATTTTGACCGCAGCGTCCAGATCGGCCCAAGAGGCCCCACGGGCCGCCTCAAGACGCTCCCTCGGGAGCCCCAGCGCCCCCCCGCCCCTCCGCCCCTCCCAGATCCTCCCGAGGCGGCGCCCAAGCCCGCCCAGCCGCTTCTCTGAGGCCAGTGGGGGTTGCGAAGCGTGCGCCCTGGCCCGAGCGGCCCCCCTAGGGGTAGGCCTGGGGTAGGCCTAGGGGTAGGCTCTAGGGGTAGGCCTCGGGTAGGCCTAGGGATGGGCCTAGGCGTGTAGGCCTAGGGTAGGCATAGGGGTAGGCCCTAGGGGTAGCCCAGCGTTCCGCTCCACGCTGGAGCCCCTGGGGCCGGACCTCGGGGCCGGCTCTCGGGGCCTCGCGAGGGGTGCTCGGTAGGCCGTGGGGGCCTCCTTGGGGATCGGGGGCGACGACGGGGGCGAATTAACCGAGGGGCGGGCGTTGCGCGCAGTCGCCCGGGAGCCACGCCGAAGGCATGCACCATCGGGGCCCCTGGGTACATGTGTTGCTCCCCCCTGGGCTATTCGCCCCTATCGTCGCCGCCGCTTGGAAATCCTGGGGGGCACCCTGGGCCAGGGGCCCTTCTGGCGGCGCCCGAGCTGCTGCCCGAGCCTCGATCCTCAGGAGGAGCTCCGGCGACCCCCCAGGTGGCGACCCCCCAGTGGCACTGCCTGGCCCCAGGGCTCGAGCTCAACATTCTTTTTCGTTTTCGTTTTCGTTGTTCGTGTTCCCTCGTCCTGTCCTCGTTTGGCCGTTGCCGCAGCACGAGATCCCAGCGAAAGCGGTCCACGAGATCGCCAGAACACCGTTTGGCTCGAGCCCTGCCTGACCCCCGCCCCCCGCCGCCACCGCCCTTCACTCCCCCCCCCTCCCTCTCCAGGGTCGGACGAAGGGGCGGGTCAGGGATCGTTCTTTGTTTTCGTTTTGCTTTCGTTTTCCCTGAATTTGTCTCGAGTCCGTCTTCGTTGCAAAACGAAGTCGAAACGAACATGGCCCACGAAATCGCCCTAACAAAATTTATGTCGACCCCTGCTCCGCTCCCCTCCCCTCGGGGTCGGACGAAGGGGCGGCTCAGTGAAAGGGGGGAGAGTGTTCTGAGATCGGAAAGGGCGTGCGGCTGAAAGGGGTGTGGTGCCAATCGTGGCAATTGCGATGTTATCGACGATGGATAGCATCACCAGGTCCAGCAGTGGCACCGCGCCCCTGTACACCACACACCTTCCCTGCCTCCAGGATCAACTTAGGCACCTGGTTCTCCTGGCGCCTCCCGGCGCCAGGAGGCGCCAGCGCAACGAGCAAAACGCACGGCGGCGGAGACGGAACCAGCTGCATGCAGCAGATCGCGCACCCCCCCTTTCCCAATCCCCCCATCCTTGCGTCCGGCCCGAGCGGAAGAATGACGACGCGAAGGACGAGGAGGAGGAGGAGGAGGAGAAGGAGGACAAGGAGAGGAATTATGATGATGACGATGCTGATGATACTGTTGATGATGCTGGTGATGACGCTGATGAAGATGAATAACCTGATGCTGATGATGATGATGATGATGATGATGATGGTGGTGATGCTGATGATGAAACTGATGATGATGCTGATGATGGTGATGCTGTTGATGCTGATGAGATGATGCAGATAATCATGATGTGATGTGATGATGGTGATGATAATGATGATGATGCTGTTGCTGATGATGCAGATGATGACGATGATGCTCATGAAGTTGTTTATGATGATGCGGGCGATGGTGATGAGGAGTAGTAGGAGGAGGAAGAGTAGGAGGAATGATACTGATGATGATGATGGTGATGGACAATGACGATCCTGCTGCTCATGATGATGAGGATGAGGAGGATTATGATGATGGCTATGGTGATGGTGTTGGTTATGCTGATACTGCTGATGGTGGTGAGTATGATGATGATGGTGATGATGACGAGGATGCTTTTTAGCATAGTGATGATGATGCTGATGATGATGACGATGCTGCTGATGCTGATGATGGTGGCGATGGTGATGGTGATGATGGTGGTGGTGATGGTGATGAGGAGGATGAGGATAAAGATGAGGACGAGGAGGACCTCCCTCCTGCTCATGCCGCCGCCCCGCCCCGCCGCGAGGCAGCGGCGGCGAATTGCGGCCGAGCCCGGGGCTGGCGCGCAGGAGCTGGCCGGGCACGCGGGCCTCCAAGGGGGCCAGCGAGGAGGAGAGAGAAGAGGGACGAGAAGGACCAACGTAAGCCAAGGGCGCCTCGTGGGTCGCCTCGAGAGCGGAGGAGAAGGAGGAGGAGCAGGAAGAGGAGGAGGAAGCCGAGGAGGAGGACGAGGAGGAGGCGGAGGAGGACCAGAGTAGACCCAGGTAGTCTCGAAGGTCTCCTCGAGGGCGGAGGAAGAGAGGAATCAAGAGGAGGAGGAACGGGAGGAGGAGGAGGAGGAGGAGGAGAAGGAGGAGGAGGAGGAGGAGGACGAAGTGGAGGAGGATGGAGGAGGAGGAGGACGAGGAGGAGACATACCATTGTTGGGGAGGATGGTGTGGGTGGGGATCGGTTGGGGATGGGGGGGGCGCAGACAGAAGGCTGGAGGCCAGTCAGACCAGCATTTCAGCATCACGTACCCTTCTCTATATGCCACCATCTTCACTTCTATCACCCTCGCAAGCCCACTCTAAGCCCGACCTACCCCAGCTCAGCAGTAACGCCCGCACCACATCACATGTCACTTGGTCTGCTTCTGTACGGTTATACACCGGGCGGGTGCAACTGCAATTTACTACGGTGGTCGTTTTGGCACTCGGCAGGTGGTGGGCCTCCCCTCTAGGCTCCCCACTGTGGACTGCCAAGTAGCACCGCCAACAACCTGCTGCTGCCTGCAACATTTTGACCAATAGTTCGATCTCTCCCACTCTGTCGCGGTGATCAATCGTGCATGTTACCGTTCGTCCAGGTTGCTCGACCAGGTTGCCGCATTCTGCCTGCCCTAGCGGGCCATTCTCAGATTCCTCCTCAGTGCTTTCTGTCTTGTTATGACTGCTGCGCCCACCTAGGTCCAAGTGGTTGGCCACGGAACCAACATCGGTTTCCTGATATGCACCATGTCGCAGTTTCGCACGATCAGGACGCTCCGAGCCCCGTCGCTCAGAGTCTGGCCAACAGAAAGAAGAGGAGGAGTAGGATGAGGAGGAGAAGAACAAGAGAAAACCAAGGGTGCAGCAACGATACTGCTCTGGACCTCCCTTATCCAAAGCCCTCTCCTCATGAGTCCTTGCACGCCTGCCTTTTCACTGCGAAGCCACGGTGGTGGCGTGATAGCGATGATGATTAGTGTTTCTCATGGTGATGCTGATGATGATGTGGAGTGACGACGATGGTGACGATGATGTTGATGTGTGAGTGTGTGCGGGAGACGGGGGTGCCCTCACCTGTTCGGGCTTCCTGCGGCTCCAGACGGCCCTGGAGGCCTCCAAGATGGCCTAAAAGAAATCCCCAACGTGGCAGCGTACTCCTCCAAGATTGCTCAAGACAGCCCAAGGGCCTCTACATCGCCCAGAACAGCCCTAAGAGAGCACTCAGCTGGCGCGAGAGGACGGGGCCCGAGACGACGAGTGCCCCTGGACGGCCTCTCGACGGCCCCACGTCGGCCCCAAGAGACCCCCAAGACGGCCCCAAGACGGCCCAGGAGGGCCCGAAGGCGGCCCAAGAAGGCCCCAAAGGACCTCCAAGAGAGCCAAAAGACAGCGCCCATACGGCCCCAATGAGCTCCACGAGAGCTCCTCAAGAGGTGAAGGCGGGAGGTGTCACATGCGACGGCCTTCGGTGCGCGAACCTTTGCCACCCAACGGGCTTGGCTGGCACGGTGACGGGACTTGTCGCAACCACCTGGATCGAGAGCCTCCTTTTGAAAAGGAACCGCCCTCCATCCGGGCAGCTGCGATATCTCTTCAGCTTCTATTATTTATACTTGAGCGCAAATTTCAAGCGATATCTCTTGTTGAGAAGAAGCCCTCCCCCATCCATGTACGTAACTGCTGTTGTCCTTTAAGACGAATGTGCGCGTCGCTCAGCGCGAGACCCCATGTTTAAACGGAGCCACCGTAAATCATTGTATCTCTTCCAAGCCTTTGAAACTCATGTGCGCGGCGTAACAGCGAGAGCCGCATTTTGAACACGAAGCGGCGTCCTCCTCCTCGTCCTCCTTCTTTTCGTTCCCGTCCTCGTCCTGGGTCTGATCAGGCTGGTCCAAACCTGTTCCACTGCGCGCTTCTACACCGCTCTGATCGAGGCGGCTGGGCTGGTGGGGATGCGCGAAACCGCCAAACATTCAACTACCGGGGATGGACAGACCCCCCTTTAGTAAAACGTGGTTTAGTGAAAACGACCTGATGCCCAAACCTGGCGGGCGCAAGCCTGGAAAACAACGGCCACGGCGCCCTCCCGAGAACCGAAAACGGACAATGCACTAATCGACGTGTCACTGTTGGGGCTTCTGTCCACCCCCGAAACTGCCACGCTCCCCCGGCTCCTCTCCCTCCTCCATCTGGCTTCCGATCGCATCGAGTGGACCCTGAGGGGCTGGGGGGAGGAGGAGGAGGAGGAGGAGGGGGAGGAGGGGGAGGAGGAGGAGGAGGAGGAGGAGGGAGGAGGATGAGGAGGAGGAGGAGTAGGAGGAGAGGAAGAGGAGGAGGAGGGGGGGGGGGGGGGTGCGGAGGAGGAGAGGAGGGGAAAAAGTTGGGAGGGAGGTGGAGAGTAGTGGGGGAGGAGAGGATATAAGGGGGAGGAGAGGGGAGGTGAGAGAGGAGGGAGGAGGATGGGAGGAGGAGGAGGAGAGGAGGAGGAGGGAGGAGGAGAGGAGGAGGAGGAGGATGGGGGCTGGGGGGTGTGGGGGTGGGGGGGGGGATGAGGATCGGTGGCGCGCCCGGCGGGGAAAAGCGCGAGGGGGCGGGCCTCCTCAGAAGGCTCTCGGAAGTCCCCCCCGGGCTTCCGAGAGGTGCTCCGAGCCTGCCCCGAAGACGCCCGGGCCACTTCTCAGAGGGCGCGGAGGGTCTCGGCGAGGCCCGACGCCTTCTGAGAGGGCCTTCTCCTTCTCACTTCCCCCGCTCGCTCGCCGCCGAGAGGAGGCAGGGAAGGAACTGTTGGGGGGCAACAGGATACGGATACGTGTTGTCCCCGGACCTCTCTTGGGGTGCGTTCTGACCAGAATCTCGAGGCGAATCCAGCGGTGACAACGAGGCTCCCCCAGGAGGACCAGGAAAGGCCGAAAACGAAGGGGGACAACACGTATCCGTATCTTTTTCTCCCCCGAAACTGTTTCTCAGCCCGCGTCACGCGGGCGCTTGCTGCTGCGCAAAGGGGGTTTGAAAATCAGCTCACGTAGCTGATTTTCCCGGCGCCTCCCGGCGCCGGAGGCGGTCATGTATCGAGGAATGGGCCCGAAACCAGCTGCATGCAGCAGATTTCGTTACCCCCCCTTTCCCAATCCCCGCCTTTCGCCCGGCCCGAAGGAGGCAGGGAAGGAACTGTTTCTCAGCCCGCGTCGCGCGGGCGCTTGCTGCGGCGCGCCGCGCCGCCGCCCCGGCCCGCGCAGGACGCGCAGGGGCAGCCGGGCGGAGCGTCGGCGCCCTCGAGCACGAGGTCTATGAAGAGCACCTCTTTCGGTGGCTATAGCACGCGCGCGCGAGGAGGAGGAGGAGGAGGAGGAGGAGGAGGAGGAGGAGGAGGAGGAGGAGGAGGAGGAGGGGAAGGAGGAGAAGGGCGAGGAGGAGGAGCAGGTGGCTCGCACGCGCGCGCGCAGGGCGGTAGCGCCTACTCCAGATTTCGTAAGAAAAGGGAGGGGGTCTCAACCCTCCCAGACGAGAAGATACAGACCCCCCCCCAGCCTGGGAGAGCCCGCCCAAAACAATCGTCCCCAGACCCCCCCAGCCCTCCAAGATTGACCTGGAAGTGACCCCCCCCCCCCCCCGAAATGACAAAACCCCCCTCCACCTTTTATTACGAAATTCTGGGGTACGCGAGCTTGCCCACCGAGAGCCCCTCATACTTACGCAGGCGGTGCAATGCGGGTGGACACGATGACGATGACGATGACGATGACGATGACGACGATGACGATGACGATGGCGATGGCGATGACGATGGCGATGATGTCATCGTCATCGTCGTCGCTGCGCGCCAGCGGTGGAGCTGAACGGGGTACACACATTGGGCTGGCACACGTTCTGGGAATCATCAGCAGGGGTGCGGATAGTGGGCCCTGCCCCCTCCGACAGTGCCTCGCGGAGGGAGGACTCCTAAGACAAGTCGCGGAAAGGGGGGGCGCCTCCTTCGAAGAATCCCGCCCCCGCCCCGCAAGGGCCCGAGGGCCCTTTCGGGGGCCCCTCCTGCGCCGCGAAGGTATACACACAGACGCCCGCCGACGAAGTTGCCCGGGCCTTTTGGGAGGGTCGTGGTGTAGAAAGTCGTTGGCTCTCAGCGGTGCTTGATATACCGCCGCCCTCCCCTGAGGTCCAGAAGCAATCCGTTGGAGGGTGTTTGTGTATACATATATATATGTGTGTATAAGCACAGACACACATACATACATACGTGCATGCAGACACATTTTCATTCATACATTCTACAAGCATACACACAACCATACATACATACATACATACATACACGCATGCATACAAACGCACATATGCACATACACTCATATCTACACATACATACATACATACATACATACATACATACATACATACATACAAACATGCACATAGGCACACCACGCTACACATCGTGCATACATGCGTGCATATATGCATACACTCACATATATGTATATGTATATGTATATATGCATATACATATTTATGCATATACATATAATACAGATATGTACATATTATATATATATATATATATATATATATATATATATGTACATGCATGCACATATGCATACATACATGCATGCATGTATATAAACATATATATATGTGTGCAGACGTATATAGATACATGCATGTACATGCATACATGCATACAAACACACATATATATGCTAGAACTACGGGTGTCGCTGTAAGCCCCGTTGTGGCTAGAACGACGAATTCCAGCGTCTCCTGGCCCATGCCATCGATGCAAAGAAACGCGTAGTCATGACGTGGGGCGCCATGTTCCCGCGTATCTCACAATCTCGCTGCCGCTTTTTTATTGATCGAATTGTTTCTCCTCCACTTTCATTTCCGCTTTGCCCTGTCGTGACACCCAATGTTGTTGACAATTTGTTCGGTCTTCCCATGCCCGATCACGCAGACATCCGCCGGCTCCTGATATTGGGATTTGCTCAGGGCCTCGTTGTGCGCGCGTGGGGGCGCGTTATTTGCTTGTTCCTCTTCCTTATGCTCCAAGCTTCTCGTTTTCAGCGGTTGTTTTGCTGTCGGGTATATCAATGCCCTCCTCTGCAATCAATTGTTGTCGAATCCGTCCACGGGAGTGAGGACATTTCTTTGTGCTGGACGCCAAACCTCATGCCGGCGATAATCGTACCCGTGGGATCAGAAGGTTCGGGCTCACGGGGGATGCTCAATGATTTGCGTGGCGAATCCCATGTATGGGGCTGCTACCTTCTTGGCGCTTTGGCGAGGCCTTTCCGGAGGTGAGGGAGGGGCACAGAACCGGAGAATAGTTCAGCCACACCCCGCTCGCTCGGACATGAATACATATGTACACATGCACATGGCGGCGGACATCGTAGCCAGTGCTTCGAGACAGGCGTCCAACCGTGACGACGAAAGGCCCCGCAGGAAAATGCCCCAGAGCCTCCAGAGACGACGGCGCCGACGCCGGCGTCGGCCCAGACCCCCGACGTCGCGCGATGTTGGTTGTAACGTGGACACTGGCCATCGCTCGGACGTCCATTCCCTGTGTTTTTTTGGGGTTCGTGCGTGGTTTTCTCGCCAAGTGATTAAGGATGCTCCTCGATGGTCCTCGCCGAAGGAAAAGTGCACACGTCCGAGCGATGCCAAGGGACAGCCCTCGGGGGCGTCCAAGGAGGGGGGCGTCCAAGAGGGGGGGGGCGCAAATCATGGCGGCGGGCACGTGCGCGGCCCAGGGGGGGGGTTGGCTGGGGGGCGTATTAAGATAGGAAGAGGCGCCATGAAATCTGGGGAGATGCCGTGGCCTCCGCCACGACATTCCCACCCACCTCCAATCCTCACCCCCCTCTGCTGCCCCCGATGCCCCGAGGTCTCGACGCACTCCCAGGGACCAGCTTTCCATCCTGGGCCATTTGCGGAAGGTTCCCGAGGCCTGGCGGGGGCCCCCAGGCTGAAGACGGCAGAAACCTCGCGTCGTGTTCCTTCGCGACGCGAGCACGTCAGTGGACCAAAAGATGCCTCGAAAACGGCCAAAATGGCCCCAGTAAGGCGGCCCAGTATGGCCTCAAGGCATCCCCAGATGCCGCCAACATGGCCCCAAAGGGCCACGAGAGGGCCTCCCGGAACGCCGCCCACCCCTCCTTTTGTACTCTCGCCATCGCTCGGACGTCCATTCTCCGTTCATCGTTCCGTGTCGTCCGTCTGTTTTACCACAAAATGATCCAAGGTGCTCCTCGATGGCCCCTGTAAAACAAATCCAGACGTCCGGACGATGCCAAAGACTTCGTGTGCGCCGCCGGAACCTTCCTCACCCCGGGCAGCGGGTCGCCGAAGGCGGCGTTGTCCGCCCGCAGAGGCGCCCCGGACGCGGCGAGGCGGCGGACTTGCTCCTGGGAGGGCACCAATTAGTCACTACGCACCTGCACGACCCAGGCCAGGAACATTGCATCACATTTCCTCCCGTCGCGAGCGAACAACATCACGACGGTAACGTTCTCGCTGTTTTCGGGCCCCCGGCCGAGCTTTCAACCAACGACTCGAGATGAAAGGGCTGGCCCCGGGGAAGGGTCGGGACTTCTACGGACCCCGACTGGAACACATCCAGACGTTTCAAGAACAATCAAACAAAAAACCACAAAAAAAAAAAAAAAAAACAAAAGAAAAAGATCAAAAAAAATCAAAAAAAAAAATTCAAAACAAAAAAAAAAAAAAAAAAAAAAAAACAAAAACAAAAAAAAAATTCACAAAAATCAAAAAACAAGTGGGACGTAAGACCCGGTAGGGACTCGAAATCCCGACGGACATCGGTCAACAAAAATGATCGAGGCCGAGCCTGCATTTGACGAGGCCTCCCCGCTGCAGACATCCCACGAAACACCATCCTCGTCAAAATCCGAGGCGCGTCAGTCAAAAACGATGGGGCCCCGAGCCCGAGTCCTGGCAAACCCGGGTCTTACGCTCCCCCGAACGTTGCACGTCAGGGTGTGCACCTGCACCGAGCTGGGCCAAACCTGTGGCCCTGGGCCCTGGACCGGCGTGCGTGCGACCTCCTGCCTCGGGCCAGGGAGGCGGCGCACGCAGCACCCCGCCGACTGCGGATCCGAGTGAAGGGGGGCCGGGAGGGATGGCGGAAGCGAGGCTGTGAACCATCCGCCTGCGCAGCGCGCCCTCCCGGCTGGCGCGCCCTCCCGGCCAGCGCGCCCTCCCCGCGCGCCCTCCTCGCACGCCCTCCCGGCGCCCTCTCGGCGCGTCCCTCCCCGCGGGCCTTCCACGCGCGCGTTCCCCGCGCGCCCCCCCCCCCCCCCCCCCCCCCCCGCGGGCCCTCTCCCGCGTGCCCCCCCCCCGCCGAGCCATCCCCCGGCGCTCGCCCATACACACACCAAAAAGAAAAATATAAAAATCAAAAATCCCAACAAAAAAGAAAAAAATAAGAAAATCACCCAAAAACACATCCCAACTAAATTATCAACCAACAGGACCCCCCTCCCAAACATGAAAAAAAATAAAAAAACTGCAGCGCCGCGCCTACGCCGGCCACGCGCGCGCAGGGATAAGGTCCGTTCGGGCCCCAATTCACTCTGATGTACGCCGACCCTGCAGTCCAGGGCTCGGCCCAGCCAGGATCGGTGCAGGCGACGCGCTCGCGTCGTGAACAGAAATCGCCACGGGACTTTCGACGTCGAGACCGCCGCGCACGACAAGAGCGTGTGGAGCCCCTTCCTGGACGAGGCGTTCTCGGCCCACGCCACGAACATCGGCCTCACTTTCGTGCGCTGCTCCGACGCCCACGGCTGCCTCCTCCAGGTCAGCACCGCCGACGACTTCCGGGTCCTCCAAGCGACGACGCGCCTCAGGGACGCCCGGTACCAGTTCTGGGCCAAGGGCAAGCGTGAGCACTACGTATCGTGGCAAGGGCACGGTGCCTCCAGACCGTCAACACCAAGCGTTACGACTCCGACCAAGCCGAATACGTCGCCGTCGAAGCCTGCTCGGTCGGTTTCTTTGCAAAGTGGCCGGCCGAGCGCTCCCCGGAGGAGCGACGCCTCCTGACTCTGTTCAGGAGCGGGGCCTCGTGCTCCGAGACGCGCCGGCGTGTTCGACGAGGCCTGCATCTATTGCCGCCATCCTCAGCCCAGCATTGGGCACCGCATCGAGGAGTGCCCGGAGTACAATCTCGTGCGCAATGCTGCCGCGACCAAGGTCAGATTGCCACTCCATTTCTGGTCTTCGCTGCCATCCCTCCTCCTCCATCTCCGTCCCCTCCTCCTCCCCCTCCTCCTCCGCCTCCGTCTCCGTCCTCCTCCCCCTCCTCCTCCCCCTCCTCCTCCATCTCCGTCCCCCCTCCAACTCATAGTGGTGGTGGTGGCGGTGGAAAACAGGCCCATCATAAACAACAAGATTGGGGGGCAACTTAACCTACCTCGCTTTTGACCACCCTCGCTTCCCAGGGATACCGAGCGATGCCAAACTACGGCCCGTACTGGTCAGGCCGCTTGACGAGGAGGCGCGTGGCATGACTTGGCTCTGCCTGGAAGCGACAGCGGGGTAGGTAATTCACGCAGCGCCCAGCTCTCGGGGGGCCCTCCTCCCCCTCCTCCTCCTCCTCCTCCTCCTCCTCCTCGTCCTCCATGTCCTCCTCCTCCCCCTCCTCCTCCGCCTCCGTCTCCGTCCTCCTCCCCCTCCTCCTCCCCCTCCTCCTCCATCTCCGTCCCCCCTCCAACTCGTGGTGGTGGCGGTGGAAAACAGGCCCATCATAAACAACAAGATTGGGGGGCAACTTAACCTACCTCGCTTTTGACCACCCTCGCTTCCCAGGGATACCGAGCGATGCCAAACTACGGCCCGTACTGGTCAGGCCGCTTGACGAGGAGGCGCGTGGCATGACTTGGCTTTGCCTGGGAGCGACAGGGGATTGCGTGATTGCGGGCCTTGGGAGTGCCTGGGTCCTGGGCCTCCCAGTGCCCACCCCGCCGTGGAGGAAGATCCGCGGGCCTGCGGGGGCCCTTCGGCTCTCGGTAGAGCGCTGGAGGAGGAGGGGGAGGAGGGTGAGGAGAAGGGAGAGGGGGAGAGGAGGGGGAGGAGGGGGAGGAGGAGGGAGGATGAGGAGGTGGAAAGAGGAGGAGAGAGGATTGAGGAGGGAAGGAGACGGAGGCGGAGGAGGAGGAGGGTGGAGAGTCTGGAGGGAGGAGAGGGAGGTGTGGAGGGGAGGGGGAGGAGGGGGGGATGAGGATGCAGGGGCCTTGTGGCACTTCACGCAGCGCCCAGCTCTCGGGGGGCCCGTGCGGCCGACGCCCCGGCGGGCTCCGTGACGTCGGCGCCCCGCGTGCGCCCCGCGTCCCCGTAGTGCGCCGCGGCCACTCGCGCGCCTGGCGGCGGCGTCGTCGACGTCGGCGTCGTCGTCATCGGCGTCGGCGTCGGCGTCGTCGTCGTCGTCGCCGTCGCCGTCGTCGTCGTCGCCGTCGGCGTCGGCGTCGTCGTCGTCGTCGTCGTCGTCGTCGTCGTCGTCGGCGGCGGCGGCGGCGGCGGCCGCGGCGGCGGCAGCCACGCGCGCGCCCCGCGGCAGCGCCGCCCCGCGTCCCGAGCCCTCCGCGACGCGCATCGTGCGCGGCGCGCGGCTGCGAACGCTGCCCAGCACGAGCTCGCGCTCCTCGCGGCGGCGGCGTCGTCGTTAGCGGCGTTGTCGTCGTCGTTAGCGTCGTCGTCGTCGTCGTTAGCGTCGTCGTCGTCGTTAGCGTCGCCGGCAGCTTCGTCGTCGTCGTCGTCGCCGTCGTCGTCGTCGTCGTCGTCGTCGTCGTCGTCGTCGTCGTCGTCGTCGTTGTCGTGGTCGTGGTCGTCGTCGTCGTCGTCGTCGTCGGCGTCAGCGTCGGCGACGGCGTCAGCGGCTGCGTCGGCGTGAGCGTCGGCGTCGGCGTCAGCGTCGGCGTCGGCGTCGTCGCCGTTGTCGTCGACAGGGGCAAAATAGGAAATCGGGGATCTCTGAGATCCGACGGTTCTGGAGGATGTATCGGGTGCCGCGGCCCCCCAACAGAGTTCCGGCACGCTCTGAGAGAGCGTGCCGGAACGGTCTGGAACGATTATAAAAGAATAGGGGGGTCCGAGCAAATGGGGTCGGAGGATCGCGCCGCATCGGCGATGCACCGGCGATGCATCCGCGACGTCGGCGATGCATCGGCGACGTCCGCGTGGAGACAATCGGGCTCCGCATCGAGCCGCATCGTCGATGCATCGGCGATGCGTCGCGATCCTCCGACCCCATGTACTCGGACCCCAACTAAGAGGCCTAGACTAATGTGTGCGCATGATTTCTCGAGATTGATCCCTGTCCTAGCCTTAAGTCGGGCATGTCCCCTTACAGGCAGCATTTGGAATAATAGTAAAAAGTAAGAACAATTAGCTTGACGAAAAAACCAACCATCTGCAGTTGTGGGCACCGTCGATGTATGCACCGGAGTCGGTGGGGCTCTTTATGGGGCTACCAAACGTGTGAGGGGTGTGGCAGAATGGGTGCGGCGGGTGCATGCGAACGCTGGCATGTGGGCCTTCGGTGGGGCTCACTATGGGGCCACTAAACGTGTGAGGGGTGTGCCAAAATGGGTGTGGTGGGCGCGTGCGAACGCTGGCATGTGGGCCTTCGATGGGGCTCGCTATGAAGCCACGAAGCGTGTGAAGGATGTGCCAAAATGGGCGCGGTGGGCGCATGCGAACGATGGCATTTGGGCTTTCGGTTGGGCTCCTTGTGGGCCTACGAAACGTGTGAAGGGGCGTGCCAAAATGGGTGCGTTGGGTGCATACGAACGCTGGCGTTTGGGCCTTTCGATGGGGCTCCCCCTAGGGCCGCGAAACGTGTGAACGGTGTGCTAAAAAGGGTGCGGTGGGCGCATGCGGACGCTGGCATTTGGGCCTTCGGTGGGGCTCCCTGTAGGGCCACGAGACGTGTGAAGGGCGTGCCAGAGTGGGCGCGGTGGGCGCATGCGAACGTTGACATTTGTGCATCCGGTTGGGCTCCATGTGGGGCCACGAAACGTGTGAAGGGACATGCGAACATGTGTGCGGTGGGCGCACGCGAACGCTGGCGTCTGGGCCTTCGGTGGGGCTCCCTATGGGGCCACGAAGCTTGCGAGGGACGTGCCAAAATGTGTGCGGCGGGCGCGTGCGAACGCTGGCATGTGGACCTTTCAGTGGTGCTCCCTGTAGGGCCACGAAACGTGTGAGGGGTGTGCCAAAATGGGTGTGGTGGGCCCATGCGAACGCTGGCATCTGGGCCCTCGGTGGGGCTCCCTACGGAGCCACGAAGCGTGTGAAGGATGTGCCAAAATGGGCGCGGTGGGCGCATGCGAACGATGGCATTTGGGCTTTCGGTTGGGCTCCTTGTGGGGCTACGAAACGTGTGAAGGGCGTGCCAAAATGGGTGCGTTGGGTGCATACGAACGCTGGCGTTTGGGCCTTTCGATGGGGCTCCCTCTAGGGCCGCGAAACGTGTGAACGGTGTGCCAAGAAGGGGTGCGGTGGGCGCATGCGGACGCTGGCATTTGGGCCTTCGGTGGGGCTCCCTATGGGGCCACGAAACGTGTGAGGGGTTTGCCGAAACAAAAACATGCGGAGGGCACAGGCGAGGAAGGCCAGGAGGGAGGAGGGGGAGGAGGAGAAGAGGAGAGCAGAGGAGAGGAACACGGGGACCGTCTCTTCAAAACGAGGACCTAACACCACAGGATGGTTGGGCAAAATCTTCAAGCAGTCCAAACATCATCGGAAAACCGATCCCATTGCATGCTTTTACTACTTTCGAATACTCCTCCTGTTGAGGGACATGCCCGACTCAGAATTAACATGTGTGCATGATTCTCGAGATTGATCCCTGTCCAAGCCCCGCTCGATCCTCGCGCCCGTAGCACTGCGGGAACGGCCCGGGCGGCGCGGCCCGCGGCCGCGGGCAGCGGCACGCGCGGACGGCGACGTCCACGAATCCGCCGGGCCACGCCGCGAGGCTCCGAGGCCAGGTGTTCTCCCAAAGGGCTCGAGCTGCAGTCAGCCCGCATCAAGGACGCACGGTGAGGACGCAAGTGCCTTGGAGGGCCATATCGAAGCTTCTCGAGCGGGGCGCGGCCGACAGAAGTGGCCACGGATGGGCCGAGGAGGCAAGGCTGCGAGGGTACCCTGGGGAAGGCTGCCCATACCCTACGATGCGGGCTGACTGTAAAGTGGTGCTTTTTGTTCTCGTTCTGTTCTCTCGCTCGCCTCCGTTCTGTCCCCGCTCTGCCCTTGCGCCGCGGAACGAACTCGGAACGAAAGCGGCCCATGCAATCGCCAAAACACCGTTTGGCTCCTCCTCCTCCTCCTCCTCCTCCTCCTCCTCCTCCTCCTCGAGGGGGACCGGGAGGGTAGGGAACCCTCCTCCTCTCCCCCTCGCCCCGCGGGTCCGGCAGGACCTGGCGGAAGGACGGGCTCCTCGCGGAATCCACAGCAAGGCCCCCCTCAACCCCATGGGATCTAGCAAGCCCAACTGCACACCCCGGCTCCCGCCGCCCTCCGTTCCCCCCCCCCTGGCGATCCAGCCATCTGCGCGCCCAACCGCCTGGCTTCTGGATCGCCAGAGGGGGCTGTCCAAAGGGTGGTTGGCAAATCCTGACCGCGGCATGTGCCGGCCAGCGGGGTGCCCTGGGAGCTACTGAAATAAGAAGAGGCCGCCATGAAATCTGGGGAAATAATCATGTGCCCCCGCCATGATATCCACCCCCCGGTCATCACCCTGGCCACCCCCTCTTTTCGCCCCCGACCCTCGCCGCCCCCCGCGTCCCGCCGCCCTCCGCTCCCCCCCCCCCTGGCGATCCAGCCAGCTCGCGACGACCGCCTGGCTCGCGCCGTGAATACTGAAGGGGCCCACAAACACACACAACTAAATACACACAAATAACAGAAAAATCCCTATATCCTCCCATGTTCTCTGGGTTCCTGTCTTCCCCCCCACTTCCCATATTTTCCCAATCTTTTCTTGGGAATCGACGATCCATTGTGTCTGTGTGTTTCTTCCCCTCCTGAAATACAGACGTCGCGACGGACGGTGCTTTTGGCCGCTGTCGGCCTCCGGGGGGGCCCGCCGCTGGGCCCCGGGGCCGCCCACAAGCGGCTCGGGGTGGAACCCCGGCCCGGGAGGGTCGGGTCGGGTCGGGGCCTCGGCGGGCCCAGCACGGAAGAGAAGGGCCGAGGAAAAGCAGGCGAGGAGGGAGCAGGAAGGGAAGCAGGGAGGAGGGCCAGGAGGAGGAGGCAGGGGGGTAGGAGCGAGGAGACACAGTCGGACAACGAGAGACAAAGTCAGGGGCACATAATATCCACCCTCATCATGAGCTCCCGGACAAGCGAAGCCGCTGAGTAAACGCACCCAAGGGAGGAATCGAACAAGGCAGGTACGTTTAGTAAACGCCAATTGTCGGGGTCCCGCTGTTTTTCCTCCCTTGGGACATGGCATGTCTGGAAGTGGGATGTCCTCGAATCTCTCCAGGTCCCTTGTTTGCTGGCTGTTGCTATGAAGGCTCGCTCTCGAGCCCCCAGGGAGATTCCGCTCCACAGGCGCTCCTGGGCGTTGCCGAAGGCCTCAGGATCGCGGATCGGACTCCGAGATTCCCAAGCTTGTTCTGATGGTCCTTCAGACTGTCTTGGGAGTTCCTTGGCCCGCCCCTCGGGGGCCTTGGGAGCAATCCCATGAGCCCAACCCCTTCCTCAGAACATCCTGGGTCATCCTATGCTGGAACTGCCTCGATGTATATGCCGTGCCTCCTCCTCCCCCTGATTACTCCTCCTCCTCCCCCCTCCTCCTTCCTCCTCCTCCTCCTGCTCCTCCTTCCTCGTCCTGCTTCTCCTCCAATTCCTCCTCCTACTACCACTTGTACGACGACGACCACCATCTACTAATATAACTACCACTACCACTACTACGAGGCAACGGCGACGACGACGACGACGGGTACTACATGTACTACTACTACTACTACTACTACTACTACTACTACTACTACTACTACTACTACTACGACGACGACGACGACGACGACGACTACTACTACTACTGCTACTACTACTACTCCTACTCCTGCCCCCAGTTGTGCCAGCTTTGCTTCTTATGTTGTGGGAGGGCGGGTGGGACTGGGCATGCCATGCTTGACTCGCTCGAGCTGGCTAGCTTGACTCCTACTCCTACCCTTACTCCTACCCTACTCCTACTCCTACTCCCCCTCCTCCTCCTCCTCCTCCTACTACGACTACTACTACTACTACTACTGCTACTACTACGACTACAACTACTACTACGAATGCTACTACGACTAATACGACTACTACGACGACTACTACTACTACTACTACTACTACTACTACTACTACTACTACGACTACGACTACGACGACGACTACGACTACGACTACGACTACGACTACTACTACTACTACTACTACTACTACTACTACTACTACTACTACTACTACGACTACTACGACTACTACAACTAGTACTACTACTACGCCGACGACGACGAGTGCTACTAGTATTAATCTTACAACCACTACACTACTACTACTAATACTACTACTACTACTACTACTACTACT